TGATCACAGAGGAGTTGGTCTGGAAATGTGATTCTTTTGGGTGCTTAATGCCCTGATAAAAACTTACATAGGGGAGGTATAAGGATTCATATATTATGCTGCCTGCTCCTGTCACCTGTCAGAATGGACTCGGCAGTACCCTGGTCAGCCCAGGGTTCCAGGATTGTGTAGTCTGCACAAAGGTGCAAAGGACCCCTCTAAAAGACAGGCCCCACCCACTTACGTTCTCTTGCAGCTTTCTTTCTGCTCTTCCTTTCCAAGCCTCTTCCCTGCGGTTCCCCGTCTCCCTCTTCTCTTCTGTCCTTGCTCTGTCTCTGTGTCTCTTTCCCTCTTCTCTTTCCTTCCCCCTCCCTCCCCTTAATAATAAAACTTCTTACTTAAGCTCTGTCTGCCTGGGGTGTTTGTCCCCTGCCTTGCTTGCCATGGAATCTGCCATGGTCCCCGAAGCAAGGCCCAATCAAGCTTTATCCCAACAGGAGGGGCATGAACTAGACAATAATGACATGTTGTTAAAATTCCATCCCATAAATAACCTGTCTACTGCTTCTCCTAATAACCCAAGCACAAACCAAGGCCCAATTCTGTCAAAATATACCCTGGATAGCCAATAAGTTTATTTGGCATCGCTATAGAACATAGGTAAGGGATTTCCTACAGGGGTGTGAGTGCTCCTCCTTCCAATGGTCACAACTGGAGAGCCTTTACCTAGAGTGATAGTGTAAATAAGGCAGAATTGCATACATAGATGTCTTAGGGTTACCATTTGTTTTTTTATATAATTTATTATTTATATAAATTGGTATTTTGCCTATATGTATATGTGAGGGTGTAGTACCCCTGGAACAGGAGTTATAGACAGTTGTGAGTTTTATAGACAGTTGTGAGTCGTCATGTGGGTTCTGGGAATTGAACCCAGGTCCTTTGGAAGAGCAGCCATTGCACTTCTGCTGAGCCATCTCTCTAGCCCCACATTACTGTTTCTGAATGAAACACCATAACCAAAGCAACTTGGGAGGTTCATCATCAGAGGAAGTCAGGACAAGAACTCAGGCAGGCAAGAACCTGGAGGCAGAGCTGATGCAGTAGCCATGGAGGAGTACCCTGTGCTTTCTTACAGAACCTTGCTCAGGGCGTTTTCCTATAGAAGACAGGACTACCAGCCCCACTGTGTCTCCACAATGGGCTGGGTCTTCTCCCATGAATCACTAAGAAAATGCCCTACAGCCTGATCTTAAACATTTTCTCAGTTGAGGCTTCTTCCTCTTTTCTTTTAGCTTGTCACAAAACTTGCCCAAACAGTAGGTGGTAGATGGTGGCTAGATATTACTCAGGTAAGGGTCTTGTGACTCTTCCTCACACCTCCACAAAGCAGTGTTAACAGTCAATAAGCCAGCTGGGATAATCATTTTGCAAGAGCCAACACTGAACACCCCAAGATGGTAGTTGTTGGGATGCATAAGTACTTAGTATGCAAATGCCATAATGAAATCCATTACTTTGTATGACAAAAAATTCAAAACAAAACAAAAACACCACACACGCACACAGTTGTATAGCAAGAGGGAGAATTAGAGAGTTTTGAGGTATTGCCACAAAAACTCAGCTTTCACCTTAAAGGGAAATACGAAATAATTTTGTTCTGGAGCCATATTTGAGTGACTTTGGCCTGGGGATATAGATTTAGGCTATCCTAAATCTTAAGAACATGGAAACAGTTTCATGAAGTTTTGTAGTTTTAACTTACCAAGTGAAAAAAATCAAGACAAGTTTGAAATACATTGGTGGATACAACAGTAAGGTGGTTATAGCAAGATAGGGGAAGCTTTTCTTTCTTTCTTTTTTTTGGGGGGGGGTTTGGTTTTTTGAGACAGGGTTTCTCTGTGGCTTTGGAGGCTGTCCTGGAACTAGCTCTTGTAGTCCAGGCTGGTCTTGAATTCACAGAGATCCACCTGCCTCTGCCTCCCGAGTGCTGGGATTAGAAGCATGCGCCACCAACGCCCAGCAAGGGGAAACTTTTCTTTAGGTTGTCTCATGACGTTCTTTAGCTTTTAGGTTGGTGGAAACTAGTGGTCTGTTAAGTTGTTAATAGATTCTAAAAGGTTTTTATCTGTTAATCACAGAGTACTAGTTGACAGAGATATGTGCCAGAAATAGCTGTTCTGGGAGCTAAAGCTAGCCCAGAGATAAGGTGATTAGCCTCTGGATCTGCAACATTTGAACCTCTCCATATGTTTAAGAAGTTTTTTTTTTTTTTGTTTGTTTGTGTATTGGTGTTTTGCCTGCATGTATGCCTATGTGAGGGTAACAGATTTTAGAATTACAGTTGTGAGCTGCCATGTGGGTACTGGGGAATTGAACCCTGGTCTTCTAGTAAGAGCAGTCTGTTCTCTTAACCACTGAGTCATCTCTCCAGTCCCATCACTGGAGTCTAATCATTCAGTCAGTCTCTACAGACACAGCTTCTTTCCATAAATTCTTGTTGGTTGAGGGAATACCATCTCTGCCACAGTTTGGCTTTGTTTCATAGACATCTTTCAGTCCCATACATTTCTTTAACCCTGATTTTTTTCTTAAGAATCAACTTCCCAGATTTTTTATTTTATAAAAGTGCTGGGAAAGAAACCCAGGGACTCACATGCAGTGGAGAAATGCTTTGCTAGTGAGCTACATCCTCACTCAGCCCAGATTTTTCTCATTAGTTCTTTCCTGTGAGACACTTGAAGACCTTTGGCTCTTAGATTTATCTGCTGCAGTGTCAATAGTTAATCTAGGATAGGAGTAGTGGTGCATGCCTGTAATCACAGTATTTGAGCTGAGGCAGGGGAATCTTGAGTTTTAGGCCATCTTGAGGTACAGAATGGATTCCAGGCTTAAAAAATCCCCTATCCCATTTGTGTGTGTGTGTGTGTGTGTGTGTGTGTGTTTGCATGTGTGTATGTGTGTGTTTGCATGTGTGTATGTGTGTGGGTACATTTGGAGCCCAAGGTTGACATAAGGAATTATCCTCATTAAACTCTTCCACCTTATTTGTTGAGCCAGGGTCTCTTAAACCCAAAGTGCAGCAATATTCTGGGGAATCTGCCTTCTGAGGTTGGACCCTGGGTTCTGGGATCTGAATTTCGGTCCTCAAGCACTTCAACCTCTAAGTCATCTCCATAGCCTTTTTTTTTTAAGTGTGTGTATGGGTGTTTTACTTGCATGTATGTATGTGCTCTATGTGCGTGTCTGACACCCACAGAGATCAGAACAGAGTGCTGAATTCTCTGCAGACAGGAGTCACAGATAGTTATGAGATGCCATGTGGGTGCTGGGAATTGAATCTGGATCCTCTGGAAGAGCAACAAGGGCTCTTAAACAGCTGAGTCATAACTCCAGCTCCTGTTTTTATTGGTTTTGTTTTTTCGAGACAGGGTTTCTTTGTCCTGGCTGTCCTGGAACTCACTGTGTAGACCAGGCTGACCTTGAACTCACTGACATCCGGCTGCCTCTACTTCCTGAGTGCTGGGATTAAAGACATGTGTCACTTCACTAACACATGTCCTTTTTATTGATATCTTTTTGTTTGTTTGTTTGTTTTGTTTTGTTTTGTTTTTTGAGACAGAATTTCTCTGTATTGTTTTGGAGGCTGTTCCTGGAACTCACTCTGTAGACCAGGCTGGCCTCGAACTCACAAAGATCCGCCTGCCTCTGCCTCCCGAGTGCTGGGATTAAGGGCTATCTTTTTGTTATTTACATATATTTTATTACATTTATTTGTGTAGAGTGTATGTGTGTGGCTACATGTATTCCATGGCGTGCATATGGGGGTCAGAGAACAACTTGACAGGAGTCTTCTCTCCTTCTGTATCGAAATCAGGCCATTGCAGGCTCTTTACATCTTTTTAAAAAATAGTTTTGGGATCAGTGAGATAGTTCGTCTGATAAAAACACTTCCCATGTAAGTCGACAACCTATATTGAATTCTTGGATTCCATGGTAGAAGGCGGAAAGAACAGTTCTGAAAGTTGTCCTGTGATCTCTACATGTAACATTAGCACATGTTCATTATATGTAATATTTGGTTTCATGATAGCATTTTCATAATACATAGCATGTCTTTTCTTTTCTTTGTTTTGTTTTGTTTTTCCAGTCAGGGTTTCTCTGTAGCTTTGGAAACTGTCTTGGAACTTGCTCTATAGACCAGGCTGGTCTCAAACTCAGATCTGCCTGCCTCTGCCTCCCAAATGGGAGAAGTAAAGGCATGCACCACCACCACTGGGCTGATAGATCCAGTCTTGTGCTGGTAACTACAATTTCTGCAAGACTGAGTGCAGGTGTGGTGCCATGCACTGAGAGGACTCTTCCACCTCACACTGCTGTCTTCTGGCTCTTAACATTCTTTCTGTCTTGTCTTCCCTGGCAGAGGAGGTGATTCAGATTCTCATGGCTGAATGTTCAACAGCCCTTTATTTTCAGCTCTGATCACTGATGAGTCTCTGCAGTTTCTGCTGTTACTGGGGCTTTTTTTTTTAATGTAGGAAGTTTGTTTATCGGGGGAAAGAAAAGGGAGTAAGAGAGGGGAGAGAGAAGAGAGAGATAGACAGAGATCTGCCTCACAGAAACAGCAGAAAGAGCTACTGGGGCTGGGGCCTTTTAATTAAAGAAATACTGTATTTGTGTGTGTGTGTGTGTGTGTGTGTGTGTGTGTGTGTGTGTGTGTGTGTGTGTGTGTAGCACACAGGCATATCCCGCATGTGAGAATCAGATCTCTTCTTTAAGCATGTGGGTCTTGGGGATTGAACTCAGGTTGTGTGACTTGGCAGCAAGCACCATTACCTGCTGAGTCATTTTGCAGATCCCTGGGGTCTTTTAATTAACAAATGTTCTTAGTGTTAATGGAGTTCTATTAGTACCCTCACATACTCTCTTATGGTTATCATATATGTGCCTTGTTAAAGCTTTTGTTCTCTTCATGGTATATGTGTAAAACTTATTTTTTTTTTATCTCTAAATGAGCATAGGTGATACCATGGAGAGTGGAAAACCTGGTCCAGTGCAGGTTGTTTTGGTTCACAAAGAGCAACATTCCTTTGAGCTAGAAGAGAGAGCCTTGGCCAGCATCCTTCTGCAGGATCACATCCGAGATCTTGATGTGGTAGTAGTATCAGTGGCTGGTGCCTTTCGAAAGGGCAAATCCTTCATTCTGGACTTTATGCTACGATACTTATATTCTCAGGTAAGGAAGAACTAGTTTATTTCAAAGTAGAAAATGAGCAAAATAAGTTCATTACTTAAGATTTGGTGAGAGATCTGGGTATGTAGTATGATAATAAAGTGCTTGCCAGATGTGTGTAAAAACCCTGTATTTTACCCCCAGTGTCTCAGAAAGCAAAACCAAAGATGTAATAGAACATCTTATTTCTCTTGTAGAAAGAAGGTGGTCATTCAAATTGGTTGGGTGACCCAGAAGAACCACTGACAGGATTTTCATGGCGAGGAGGCTCTGACCCAGAAACCACTGGGATTCAGATTTGGAATGAAGTTTTCACTGTGGAGAAGCCAGGTGGGAAAAAGGTAAGGATGTTAAAAAATAAAAGAAAGGAAAAGACTGAGATGTTAGAATAACCAAATGAGAAGTTACATTTATTTTTTTCATGATAGGATTTTTCTTGATAAGTTTGTCAGGTGGGTCTGGAACTCACTAGGTACCACAGGCTGGCCTTGAATCCTGAGAGCTCTGCCTCAGCCACCTATGTGCTGGGATCATAGGTGCATACTACCATGCTTGGCTCTAGCAAAAAATAATTTTGATCCTTCTATGTCCATGGTAACTTCTATGTCCTAATGTAATTGCTTTTCTGTTGAGTTTTTTGACAGTAAATTCTACAATGTATTGTCTAGCTCCTTTTTTTTTTTGTCCTGAGACAGGATTTCTCTGTATTGTTTTGGAGGCTGTCCTGGAACTCACTCTGTAGACCAGACTGGCCTTGAGCTCACAGAGATCCACCTGCCTCTGCCTCCCTAGTGCTGGGATTAAAGGCGTACGCCACCACCACTGCCTGGCCAGTTTGGGCTTCTTAAAATGTACATAAAGGAGCTTGGCATGCTGACTTATACCTGTAATCCCTACACTCAAGAAGCTGAAGTAGGAAGATTGGCACACATTTGGGATCAGCCTGGGCTATAAAGTGCGGGACACTGTTTCACAAACAACAGAAAAGTGGTTTGGAAGTTTTACTGTGCTAGTGTGTGCTGTGAGACCATTTCTCTCAGTGTTGAGTACACATGTAGCTTCTGCTCTTCAGAGAGCTTCCAACATATCCCCTTGTTTCCTCTATAGTCTCAGTTTTCTAATTGGCAGATATGTGTGACAGTGAACTTTTGTTAAGTTGGGCTATCATGCTGATTCAGAACTCATCCTGATTCAGTGGTTTTTAGCATATACATACAGCTGAAGAGGTATCATCACCATCTGACTCCAGATCATTTCATTACTCAGAAGCCTCTGTATCATTAGCAGTCATTCTTCATTTCCATCTTCTTCCAGGCCCTTGCCTCTACTAATTTACTATTGATTGAGCTGTTAGGAGTGAACCTAGTGCTATGTGTATGCCAGGCAAGTGTTCTAAGCTCTTGGTTACATCTCTAGCATCTCCATGGAGCTGTCTTTTCTGAGCATATGATACAAGTTAAATTATATGCTTTTTGGGTCTGCCCTCTCCATTCATCTTAATTTTCTTACAGCATTCAATAGTTCTTTACTCCCTTTCATGGCCGAACAGTATTACATTGTATGAAAATACCATACCTTTTTTATTCATCAGTTGTGAATGTTTGGGCTGCTTTTATCTTTTGTATATTATAAATAATGCTGCCTGTGCATGCCTGTAATACTAGTACTTGGGAGGCTGAGGCATGAGTTTCAGGGTAGCTTGGGCTGCAATGTGAGATCCTGTCTAAACTAACCTCTTCCCTCAAAATAAACAAAACCCAGAGCTGGAGAGTTGACTCAGTGACTCAAGGGCATTTGTTGCTGCTCTTTCAGAGAACCTAGGATTGATTCCCAACCCCCACATAGTGTCTCACAGCCATCTGTAATTCCAGTCCCAGGGTATCCAGTACCCTCTTGCAACCTCAGTGGACACAACACATGTGGCGCACAGATATACATGCAAACAAAATAGTCATATACATAAATAATAAACACATCTAAAAAAACTTATAAAAATACTACCTGCCTTAAACATCTATGTACAAATTTTGTAAGATTGAAGTTCTCTTGTATATATCTATATGTTTGCTTTTTGTGTCTGTGACAAATACCTGAGATACACAACTTCAGGGAGAAAAGATTTATTTCTGTCACAGCTTCAGAATTTCCAGTCATCAGCCGTTTATTGCTGTGGACCTGAACATGTCAGGAAGCAGGTGATGGAGCAAAGCAGCTTACTTTGTAGTGGACAGGAAGCTGGAGACAGACAGGCTGGGCCAGGGCAAACATATGCCTCAGAGTTGTGTCCTGAGTCCCTACTTACTCATTCAATATGAACTCATCAGTGGGTCACCATTAATGAGGTGAATGCCCTCACAATGCAGTCACCTCTTAATATGAGATTCAGCAGCTGAGGACCAAGTCCTCAGCAAAAGAGCTTGGGGAAAATGCTGTGTGCGTTTCTGTGTCACATGGCAATTCTGTAACTAACTTTATTATTATTTTTTTATGTGTATGGGTTAGTTATGCCTGCATGTATTTCTTTATACCATGTGCATGCAGTGCCTACAGAAGCCAGAACTGGGGTTTTGGGTAGTTGTGAACCCTGTATGTGGATGCTTGGAGTCAAACTAAGGTCCTTTGGAAGAGCAGCCAGTGCTCCTAACCACTGTATTACTCCAACCTGTGACTAACTTTAAAAAAGATGCCTGATACCTTCTAAAGAGAGCTCTACTAACCTATGTGTATAACTAGGAATGCAGGAAGCTCTAGTTTCTACATCTTTCCAGTTCCTGATACTGTTTTTCTTTCTTTTGCGTGAGATCAGATTTAAAATCAAAAGCTGGCCTCCAATTTGATACCTTAGCCTCCTGAATCCTGGGATTACAGGTGTGCTCCAATATGCTTGGCTTATTTGTTCTTTTTATGTATATTAACTTATTTGATGGCCTTGTGTACACTTCTGAATAGCCCTTTGTCTGGAGACCTTGTGTGTGTGTGTATTCCTATGTTGGTGCATATATGTTTGTGTGTTGGTGTACATGTATGTGTTGAGACCATAGGAGAGCCTCAGACTTTAGTTTCATCCTTAGGAATGTTATTTATCTCTTCTGAGACAGTGTTTCATTGGTCTGGAGTTTACCAATTAGGCCAGACTATTGGCTAGGGAGCTGCAGGGGTCCTCTTGTTTCTTCCTCTCCAGTGTTGGGACTACAAGCGCATACCATGAAGTACAGGATTTTCATGTGGGTTCTGGGGAATACAAATTCATTTTATAAAGTGCCTTACTGACAGAGCGGTCTCCTCTCCAGTTCTGTGCGCGTGGCGTGTGTGTGTGTGTGTGTGTGTGTGTGTGTGTATGTGTAATAGCCAGCTTAGTAGGTGTGAAGTGGTAAATTATTGTGGTTTTATATTATATATATGTATTATAATTCATTTGTATTTTACTAGTGACTAATGGCATTGAACATTTTCAGGTACTTCAGAGCCATTGTACTTTTTTTTTTTCAGATAGGGTTTCTCTGTGGCTTTGGAGACTGTCCTGGAACTAGCTCTTGTAGACCAGGCTGGTCTCAAACTCACAGAGATCCTCCTGCCTCTGCCTCCCGAGTGCTGGGATTAAAGTGCTGGCATTAAAGGCGTGTGCCACCAACACCCGGCTGCCATTGTACTTCTTTGGAGTAATATCTATTCAAATCAAAGTGTACAAAATACAAATGTGTACAAAACTGTTTTATGTGTATGGGTATTTTGTCTAAGTGTATGTGTGCACCACATACGTAACTGGTATCTATGAAGGCTAGAAGAGGGCATTGGGTCCTCTGGAACTGGAATTACAAATGTGGGTGCTAGGAATTGAACACTGGTCCTCTGGAAGAGTAGCAAATTTTCTTAACCACTGAACCATCTCTCCAGTCTCTGGCTTATCTTTGTAAACTATCTTATAAAGTATCGGGTTTCCTTAAGATTTTTTTTCATATATACCTAGTTTTGGTTGACCCCTCAGCGCCTCTGTTTTGTTCCCATTCGCATTTAAAAATTTTCAGCCCCATTTCCCCTTCCATCATGTGTCTTTTACTAACCCCATCTTTATGTCTCTCTCTCTCTTTTTTTTTTGTGACTGGGTTTCTCTGTGTAACAGCCTTGGCTGTCCTGGAACTCTACAGACTAGGCTGGCCTCACATTCACAACAGATCTGTCTGCTTCTACCTCTGGAGTGCTGGGATTAAAGAAAGGTGTTCACCACCAACTCTTTCTTAAAGCCTCTCTTTTCTCTTTTTGGCCTCTACACATTCACTCACATAAATAAGGCATATAAAAAAAATTAGAAGCTGGTATCTTCATATGAAAGAAAATGTGTTTGACTTTCTGAGCCTGAGTCAGCTTTCTTAATATACTACTTTTTATTCTTACCTGTCTTCTTGGGAATTGCGTTTTTCTTTATGGCTGATAAAGTTCCTTTGTTTACATGTACCACTGCCTCACGAGTGCTGGGATTAAAGGCATGTGCCACCACCACCCCGTTTTTTTTTTAATTTTTAAGCCACTGATTTCCATAGTGGCTATTCCAGTTTACATTCCCAATTAAGTAAACATTTTAGAATTTAATTTAAAAATTAACATTAAAACATGAAATGCCTGGTGAATAGTGAGAAATGGCTGGGTATGACATTGACATTTTCCATTGGTGAGATAATTTTATCTTTTTTTTGTTTTTTTGAGACAGGGTCTCATTCTATAGCCCATACTGGCCTCTAACTCCTTATGTAGTCCAGACTTTCTTGAACATATCACTATCCTTTTCCCTCAGCTTTTCAAGTGCTGAGATTATAGGATACCAGGTCCAGCTGTGTACTTTTTATTTTTTGCATTCTCCCTCTCTTTATTTTAACCTTTTTTGTCTTTCCTTTCCTTTTTTAGGTTGCAGTTGTTCTGATGGATACCCAGGGGGCATTTGACAGCCAATCAACTGTGAAAGATTGTGCTACCATCTTTGCTTTAAGCACCATGACTAGTTCTGTTCAGGTAAGATCCCCTTCTTTGCTCCCCTTCCTTTTCCCATCTTCCCCCTTTTCTTCCTCCTCTGGGATTAAACCTAGGATCTTGATAGTGCCTGGAAACTATTCTACACTGAGCTCTCCAGTCTGTCAGTCATTTTTCTATTAGCAAAATTCTTGTGGTTGTTTATGAGTGTTCTTTTTAGACTGTTCTAGTTTGCTCTTCTGTGGCTGTGATAAACCACTGATTAAAATCAACTTGGGGAAGAAAAGCTTTATTTAAAGGCTTACACTTTTAGGTCCTGGTCCATCATTGAGGGAAGTCAGGGCAGGAACTCAAGGCAGGAATCTGGAGATCTGGAGACAGGAGCCATAGAGGAATGCTGTTTACAGACTTTTTCCTGCTCATGCTTAGCTATATAATATAAAATAAAAATTCAGGCCCACCTGCCAAGGGATGGTGCCACCTACTGTGGGCTGGATCCTCCCACATCAGTCACAGATGAAGAAAATAAAATCTCTTCCTGGCTCAGCAGTTAAGAGCACTGGCTAGTTCTCTAGAACACCTAGGTTCAATTCCCAGCACCTGCTAGGCAGCTCACAACTGTCTGTACCTCCAGTTCCAGGGCATGCATGTGGTGCATGTACCTGTGCATATAGGCAAAATATTATGCAAATAAAAAAAGATAAATCCCAAAAAGAAAGAAAATCTCTGGCCACAGGACAGTCTTGAGTGAGGAAATTATTCTGTGGAGGTTTCTGATTTCCCAGGTGACTTAAAGATTATGTCAAGTTGTTTTAAAAAATGTAACCAGCACAAGCTACATGCATATTTAAACTGTTAAGCTCAGAATGAGTTTTTTCTTTTTTTTTTTTAAATTTTTATTTATTATGTATATAGTATTATGTCTACATGTATCCCTGCAGGTCAGAAGAGGGCACCAGATCTCATTACGAATGGTTGTGAGCCATCATGTGGTTGCTGGGAATTGAACTCAGGACCTCTGGAAGATCAGCCAGTGCTCTTAACCTCTGAGCCATCTCTCCAGCCCTTTTTTTTTTTTCTTTTTTTTTTTTAAACTAAGTTTTTTTTTTAAAGACTTTTATTTATTATGTATACAGGGTTCTGCCTACAGGCCAGAAGAGGGCACCAGATCTCATTACAGATGGTTGTGAGCCACCACGTGGTTGCTGGGAATTGAACTCAGGTCCTCTGTAAGAGCAGTCAGTGCTCTTAACCTCTGAGTCATCTCTCCAGCCCCAGAATGAGTTTTTTCTACTTATATAATTATATACAAAATATTCCAAGAAAAATCTCAAACCTCTTAAACTGTTTTATACTATAAAGAAGGAATTTTTGGATTTTAGCCCTATATTCTTATTTTTCTCAAAAGACTAGTAATACTTATCTCTCTCTCTCCCTCTTCTCTCCCCTCCCTCATATGCTTAAATTCAAATCTTCAGTTGTACAAAGCTCCATTCAGTGTTCGAAGCTTATTTGGGATGTGTTTGAAGTAAGCCAGAGTGCTATCAATCTGGATTTTGTTTTCTAGATTTACAATTTGTCCCAGAACATTCAGGAAGATGATCTTCAACAGCTACAGGTAATAAAAAAGGGTAATGGGAGTAGTGTCTAAAAGATAAAATATCAAGTGTTTTCTATCCTATGTGGAATGTAGACATGAAAACAGAAGGAGGAGCTGTCTGAGAATGGAAGGATCCCAGAGAGGAGGAGGGATGTGAGAAAAAGGGGGGGAGGGAGAGAGGGAGAGAGAGAGGACTTTGGGAGAAACTGAATGAAGCATTGAAAATAGAAATTTTAGAGCTATAAGAGCTATAAGGTTGTAGTAATCCTCCACTCTGTGCACTTGTTTCTCTTTCTCTGTCTTCCTTCCCTTGAGACAGGCTGGTCTTGGACTTCTGATTTTCCTGCCTCTGTCTCCCAAGTGCTGTGATTACAGGTATGCTCTACCACGACAGGCTTTATCTATTGCTGAGGTGTAGTTAGAAGTGCTTGTGAGCCACCTGACTTGACTTGCAGGGAACTGAACTGTGAGAGCATTGTGAGTAAGAACAGTTGAGCCATCTCTCCAGCCCTTTGATGCCTTTTCGACTCCTCTTTCACAGTTTTTCAAAAGTCTTATCTTGAATGAAAAGAAGCCAAATGTTACAGATATATCAATGGTTGTGATAGATACCGTCATCCTACACCCCCACCCCAGGGTCTCTATGTAGTCCTGGCTGACCTCAAGAACTCAGAAATCCTCTTGCCTCTGCTAGGATTAAAGGCATGCACCACCACATGACAATTCTTACCCTCACAGGTTGAGACAGGATTTCTCTGTGTATCCATGACTGTCCCGGAACTAATTCTGTAGATCAGGCTAGCCTCCAACTCAGAGAGATCCACCTGCCTCTGCCTTCCAAATTCTGGGATTAAAGGCGTGCGCCACCCACCAGCTGGCGATCTTCACAGGTTTTATAGTCCAGTCTGTGAGAGAGACATGAATGAAGAGGCATAGTGGTCACAAATACTCTGCAAACTGGATGGTATATTTTTGCACAATTGCTGACAATAAAGTGTGGGGGATGGATCAGTGAGATGGTTCACTAGGTAGACATGCTTGGGCCTGATAACCCAAGTTCAATCCCTGGATCCCACAGGGTGGCAGTGGAGAACCTATTCTACAAAGTTGTCCTTTGACCTGCGTGAAAGAACACAAAATGAATGTTTTAAATGGGGAAGGCTGGAGAGGTAGCTAAGAGATAAAACAATTGCTTATGTGTATAACCTTAGGTTCAGTGTTCAAAAGTATGTATGTGTATTTGCATGCTATGTTACACACGTGGGGTTTAATTTGGGAGTCAGTATTCACTTTCCACTTTGTTGAGGCAGAGCCTGTCTTGTTTTTACAGCTGTGTGTCTTAGGCTAGTTGGCCTCTTAGCTTTGGGTGTTTGTCCTGACCTTCCATCCCATCTTGCTGTAGGAGTTCTGGGATTATTAATGCAAACTACTGAATCTGGTTTTTTGTGTAGTTCTCAAGCTTGCACACCTAAAGCTTTTACCCACTGAATGATTTTTCTCAGCCCCAAGGCTAGATTTTTGTTGTTATTTAGACCACATACACTACTCTTGTATTTCTCTGGTAGAGGGTAGGGATCTAGGGGCAGACCTCCAAACTTTTTTAAGTTGTCAGTTCCATTCCCTTGTTCCTCCTGCAAGGAACTCAGCCTTTTCATTTCTCGGCAGTTAAGGATTCTGCTGAGAAGCCGGGCGCAGCACTTGGGAGGCAGAGGCAGGCGGATCTCTGTGAGTTCAAGGCCAGCCTGGTCTACAGAGCGAGTTCCAGGACAGCCTCCAAAGCTACACAGGGAAACCCTGTCTCGAAAAACCAAAAAAAAAAAAATTCTGCTGAGAGAAAATTTTCACTTTTTGGGTCTTTTTGCTACCTTCTATTTTAAAATACCAGAACTGGACAGTTACTCTCTATTCTTTTTGTTCATAGTGTTTGTGACATGTTCTTTGTACTGTCATATTATTTCATGTCCTCTTTGTCCTGCAAATTTGATATTTAAACTTCATTTTATTATACTTAACTGTGACTTCATGAAGAAGCAGGTAAATGTATGCAATTAACCTAATATGAGTGGATTCATTCAGTTATTTGACTAGTGTAGATATTTACTAAACCACTGGGATTTTTGTTGTTGGAGATAACAGTGCAAAAAACGGGAATGTCCCTGTACATTGGTCTGAGTGCTGATGGTAATTAAAGGGTCAGACAAATGAATATTTAAACTTTTAAAATTTATTTTATGTGTGAGTGTTTTGCCTGCATGTATGAATGTGCCCAGTGTCCATGAAGGCCAGAAGAGTGTTGTATCCCCTGGAACTGGAGTTACAAATTGTTGTGAGCCTCTATGTGGGTACTAGGAATCAAACCCAGCTCCTCTGGAAGAACAAGTGCTCTTTAACCACAGAACCATCTTACCACTCTCAAATAATTTTGCAAAACAATATCATGAAACTATTTTAAAGTAATTTCAAGCCACTGACTCTTCTTTTTTAAAGCTCTTTACAGAATATGGGCGTCTGGCAATGGATGAAATTTTCCAAAAACCCTTCCAGGTAAAGCACTATGAATGCCATTTATATCTTTGTTTAGTTCACAGTTCAGCAGAGCTGCCCGTTTTTAATATGATCTGTGAGCTATAGGGTTTGTTTGTTTGTTTTTTGAGCCTGACTCATTATGTTGCTCAGGCTGATCTCCTTCAGTACCTTGCTCCCTTTGAAAAGGTTAACAAAGTATTACAGTAATAACTATAATTAATCTTGAATATGCACTTATACTGTGGTATAATTCTGTTCTGCTTACAATAGACACTGATGTTTTTGGTTCGAGACTGGAGTTTCCCATATGAATACAGCTATGGACTGCAAGGGGGAATGGCATTTTTGGATAAGCGCTTACAGGTAATTATTCTGAATAATTATCTAAAAGTAATAACTTTCTCATCTGCTTTTTTGACTCTTGTGTTTTTAAAGTATATTATTGAAATATACTTTTGATATCTATAAATGTTTATAAATATTAGTATGAATCAGTATACTTTTTTGTTTAAAAATTTTAAAATTACATTTATTTATTTGTATGTCTGATGAAGAGAGAGGAAAGCACTACAGTTCTCACGTGAAGGTCAGGACAATTTGTGGGAGTTCTCTTTTTACCATGTGGGTCTCAGGGATCAAACTTAGGTCAGCAGACTTGGTGGCAAGTACCTTTACCTACTGAGCAATCTTTTTCTTTTTCTTTTTTTTTTTTTTAACGAGACAGGGTTTTTCTGTATTGTTTTGGAGGCTGTCGGTCCAGCCCGGCCTCGAACTCCCAGAGATCCGCCTACCTCTGCCTCCAGAGTGCTGGGATTAAAGGCGTGGGCCACCAATGCCCGGCTCCTTCTGTTCTTTTGTGTTGTGCAATACCCTTTAAAACCAAGTCTTTAGCACTTGTTATGGGAGCCAAGTGCACACTCATGCATTTACTGCTTCTTCTTGGGTTCTGGCTTTTCCCATTGGTCACTCTGATCTGTCAGTCAGGAAGTCTTCTTTCCTTTGTCCGTATGCTAGTGACTGCTTAGTGAAGAATACCAAATTGTCTTTGGCTGGTAAACTGTTGGTTTTCCTTGGCAGGTGAAGGAACATCAACATGAAGAAATTCAGAATGTTCGAAATCATATTCACTCGTGTTTCTCGGATGTTACCTGTTTTCTCTTACCACATCCAGGGCTCCTGGTGGCCACAAGCCCTGACTTTGATGGGAAATTGAAAGGTGTGTTATAGACATTCTTACTGTATATATGATTTGATCTTAGGAATTCAATAATGAGGAGTATGTGTCAACTATGAGTCAAATGGATGCTTATGAGAATGAATGCGGTCTTATAGAAAGAATAGTATTAGTTTAGTTCAGATTTTCTCCTGATTTACTGTGATTATCAGAAGTATTTTGCCTGTTTCACCTACTGAAAATGAGATACTGTTCTTCAGAGATCTTTCTAAGAGACATATTAGAATTCCCATTTTACAAGAGATTAAAGTGCTAAATAAAGGAAGACTGAAAAGCTAAGACAGCCAGTATTTTTCAAGTAAAATTATCTTCCTCAGAAAAAAGTACCATGATACACGGCCAATTTACTGTTTAAACTTATTTGTGCGTGTAGCAAATGTGATGCTGGGTCATGGGTTAAGGTCAGGAAGTGCTGAGTAGTTGGTTGGTTGGAGAATAAGAGGATACTTGGGTACCATTAACTTATTTTGTTTCTTATTCTTGGAGACCTTGAGTCACCTAGTGGCTAATCCACAGTTTACACTCTTCAAGCAGTTTGTTTATAGGCTGATCAGAGCCTCTTAATTTTTCCCTAAAAACTGCTAATAGTAGCTGCCAGCTTTGCAGTCCAATTGGATTCCTAGTGTTGTGCAAAGTGCTTTCAAACTAAGTTCACAGTAATTCCATGAAGTTACATCATTTCTTTTATCTCAACATGAGGAAGCCAGTGAAAACAAGGAAAGTTAAGCAACTCACTCAATATTTTCAACTAAAAGCAATGGGGCAGAGGTTCACATCTAGGTTCTGGTACCTTTAAATCCCACACGTGGGGATAGAAGTTCATTGTTTGGAGGAAGTCTTTAGAGAATATATACTTGTTGAGTTACTAGGGCAACTTGCCTTTTAAAAATAGTCTTAGTAAATATGGAATACAGTTTTCATTTTTTATTGAATTAATTTAAGAAGAATAAATAGTTTTAAAAAGTGTTCTTGGGTTCTGTTCCTAGCACCCTCATCAAATAGTTCACAACTAACTGTAACTGCAGTTTCAGGGGATCTGCTGCCTCTTTGTCCTCACTGGGTATTGGCATATGAACATAGTACACATATGTACATGCAGCCACACACATACGCATAAACTAAAAATGGATACTTAACTTTTTTTTTAAAGATTTATTCTATATATAGGAGTGTTTTCTCTGCATATATGTTTGTTCACCATGTGTACCTGGTACCTGCAGAGCTTAGAAAAGTGTGCTGGATCCGCTGGAACCGGAGTTACTGATTGTTGTAAGCTCCGTGTGAATGCTGAGAACTGAACCTGGGTCCTCTGCAAGGGCAAAAAGTATGCCCAGCTGCTGAGCCATCTCTCCATCTTTTTTCCTCAGAGTTTATTTTTTATTTAATGTGTATGGGTGTTTTGGCAACATTATATGTCTATGCACCATGTATGTACATTGCCTGCAGAGGCCAGAAGAGGGTGTCTGGTCCTCCAGAACTGGAGTTATAGATGGTTTTGAGCCATCATGTGGGTGCTGAGAATCAAACTGGAATCCTGGAAAAACAGTGTTCTGCTGAGCCATTGCTCTTGCCCCGCCCCTCCCCCATTAATAAATCTCTTACAAAGATTGACAGACCAGCTGGTCAAAGTGCTGTGAAACAAACTGAATTTGAGAGGTGTAACCTTTGCCTTCTGTTTGATGCTTGCATGATATGATACGTTAAGCAGTTGGCAGCTTTCTTGAAGGGGATACTCTGAGAGCTTGTCAAAATTCAAGCGCAAAATTCAAGAGATACCTGCTTAGGCAAACAGTGGAGCTATAACCTGTTACCTAAAGAGGTAGGAAAGAGTTTTTTCAGAGCTAAGAAGGGAGAGAAAGTTAAGTGCATTTGTGTGTGTGTGTAGTGAGAACATATATATATATATATATATGTAGGAGTGAACCCCACAAAGCTATCCGCCCATGAGGACGGGGACAAGTAAATTAGCATAGGTAAAGATAAAAGGAAGTGAAAGAAAAAAGGACCTCCCTTTTTTGGAAGCCAGCCACGCTTCTAAGTCCTAGCTTGTATGACTTTCTTTCTGGTAAATAAATATATTGTATCCCCTATAGCATCGGCTATCATCATTTTATATATATGTATACATATATATTTCTTTTTCTTTTTTTGGAGGGGCAGGATCTCATGTAGCCCAGGTTGGTCTCAAACTTAATTGGTAGCCAAAGGTGACTTTGAACTTATCTTCCTGCCTCTACCTCCTGATTGCTTGGGTTAAGATATACACCACTGTGCCCAGCTGGGAATTTCTTTCAGGGTTGTGGCACTTCATGATCAGCTGTATTTTTTTTTTTTTTTTTTTGGTTTTATGAGACAGGGTTTCTCTGTATTGTTTTGGAGGCTGTCAGTCTAGCCCAGCCTCAGACTCAGAGATCCGCCTGCCTCTGCCTCCCGAGTACTGGGATAAGTCGTGCGCCACCACTGCCCGGCGATTAGCTTTATTTTTTACAGAATCTAAAATTTTTGAGTTGAGGTCTTGCTCTGACTTACCTGGGAGTTGCAATGTAGACCAAACTGGCTTTGAACTTAGAGCAGTTCTCCTGTTTCCATTTCCTGAGTGCTGGGATTACAGACACGTTCCACCATACCTACTTTAGGAGAATGGATCAGAGTGACTTTTCATGCCCTTGTCTCATGGGGAGCTCACAGAGATATTTCTGCCCCTATTTCTGGAATGCTGGGGTTGAAGGTTTGTACCACCATGACTAGCCTCAAGATAGAACTATAAAATAAAATAGGGTTTATGTCATTTTTTTTAAATATGAGAAGGCAAGTTTTAAAAGGGCTAGAGGTATGTAGCTCAGCTATAGAGGCTTCCCTGGTGTATATGAAACCCTGAGTGTGCTCCCTCAGTATTGAGCAAAAAGCAACCACACTCAAAACTAAGCCCAAACTCCCAAACCCAAATTATTGAAAATATGTGAGCCATTACAACAATCAGGTTTTTTCTTTCCCAAGGCAGTTTCCCTGTAGACTAGGCTGGCCTTGAACTCACAGAGGCCTGTCTGCCTGTCTCCCAAGAGCTGCCTGACTGTGTTATGGTTTTTGTGAACAGTTATTTGGTAGTATCAAATTTTTAAGTGGTTTTTTGTTTTGGATCTAGTGTTCAGTAAGCAACTAAGTTCCTGTAGAACAACATAGTGTGTTCACTACATTATACTTTTTTTAGTATGTGATTTAAAATACACTCTTTTAGATTTTATTTTTAATTTTTTTATGTGTATGCAAGTTTTGCTGGTACATATGTCTATGTATTGTGTGAGTGCAATTCCTGCAAAGGCTAAAGAGGATGTTGGATCCTTTAGAACTGGAATTGCAAACAATTGTGAGCTACCATGTGGGTTTGGGAATCAAACTCCTCTTTTCTGGAAGAGGGCTGAGCCCTCTGTTACGTATGAAATTAATAATTTGTCCCACCTTTTTATTTCTTAGAACTTAATGGGTTCATTTTTTATATTATAATTACATTTATGGAGTGCTGAAGAGTTTATCTTGATAGGGAACCTCATAAAGACATTAGAAGATTTATATAAATCATATTTCTGATAATTTAATTATCCTATCTTCATAGTTGGATCTGTTTATTCTGTGCGGAAAGGGCACCTCTACTTGATGTATCCCTTAAACCTACTTTGAGAACCTTGTGCAACCTACAAAGATAATTAGCAGGAGGTACTTCTTTGAGTGTAAATTTTTTTTTTAAGATAAGAGTTTCTCTGTGTAGTCCTGGCTGTCCTGGATCTTGCTCTGTAGTCTAGGCTGGCTTCCAACTCAGAGATCCACCTGTCTCTGCTTTGATAGTGCTGGGATTAAGAGTGTGTGCCACCATCTGGCAATTTTTTTTTGAGACAGTTTATGTGTGTTGTAATTTAATTAAAAATGGTGTGAAGAAAAGTCACACCATGCAGCAAGGCTCACATGGGAGTGAGAAGGGGCAGAGAAGGGGGCAGAGACTGGTCTGTGGTGACAAAAGTGGAAGGCAGAAGCAGGCAGATCTCTGTGAGTTCAAGACCTACAAGAGCTAGTTCCAGGACAGCCTCCAAAGCCACAGAGAAACCCTGTCTTGAAAAACCAAAAAACCAAAACCAAACCAAAAAAAAAAAAAAAGTCCCTCCCCCCAAAAAAGCCAGGTGTGTGTCACCACCACATAGATAGATAAGGGTATTCTCTTTATTCTGAACTGGAAAGGACTTAAATGTGACAGGAATGAAGGGTATGAATGTCAGTGCACAGGACAGCAATCCAGCCACAGCCAGAAGATAGGAAACACAGTCTTTATTCCCTTTCTGCAAGGGTTTTGTTTTGTGCTCATGTTGACTTCTTGTTTCTTTCTTTATGATCCTGTGTAATAGATATTGCTAGTGAATTCAAAGAACAATTGCAGGTACTGATACCATATGTACTAAACCCATCTAAGTTAATGGAAAAGGAGATCAATGGCTCAAAAGTCACCTGTCGGGGACTGTTGGAATATTTTAAGGTAAATATGAGTTTTAGTTCTAAGCTTAGTTTTTTTTTTTAATTGATTTTAATATTAGTAGTTTCTGGGGGGAGATGGACAGAAGCATTTTACAATCTTAGTGTCCTTCCAGGAGCGGGCCACTGGGTGGCAGTATGGGCATAAGAACCAAATGATGTTCTTTGTACTCTCTTAGAGTAGTCATTACTGTGTCTTCAAGGAAGATGGTGTGGACAGGAGGTGGTTAGGAGGTTGCTGTGAGTAGGAGTCGCACGTAAATGGGACACAACTATCTCCAGGTGGATGGTTTCTGCCCACAGGTCGTGGTGAGACCATTGTGCATGGGGACTTGACTTGAACCCTGGCCTTGGTAGGCTTGTGCTGCTTTGAGAGTACTTTTAGATAACTAAAAATGCTAACATGCACTCAGAAGTGTGTTGTGCTTCTGCTAATTCTTGGTTGTTGATCTAGGATTTTAGGAAAATGAAGTTGTGTGGTTTCACTATTTAAAAATATGAGCAAAATATTTTTAATTGCATTTTTGTGATCGCTTCTATGTTTATATTTTAAGGCATATATTAAAATTTACCAAGGAGAAGATCTGCCTCACCCAAAATCCATGCTTCAGGTAATAAAGTCTTTGGTATCCTAAACGACATGCTTTATTGCTGTGAGTCCTGAAGACTGAGAGCAAGACCACTCTCCATTTATTTTATTCTCCTTCTATTTTATTCTCTTGACTTTTAAGAGTACATTTTGCAGCAAGCATGGGTTGTAGCATGAATTCTAAGATTTCTTAATATTTAAAAAGCCGGAGTCAAATATTGATGCTGAGGATCAGAGAAGCCAGATGGCCAGCCATTAGAGTTCTTACCTCTACCAATGCTCAGATGAAAGGGGCGATCCTGTCATCAGACTGCTGCCTCAGATTGCCATGAGCTCCTGTTGTGTGCAGAACATGTGCCTTATGTTCCTCTCTCTGCCCAGACAGATCACTCCCATCTCCACCTCGTTAGCGAGGGGTTTAAAGACAGATCACTCCAAGTGCTGAAATGACCTTTGTGGGAGCTCTGTTTCGCTTTTAGACATATTCAATCTTGTATAGCCCAGGGTGACCTTGAACTCATAGATACCCGGCTACCTCTGTCTCCTGAGTGTTGGGATTAAAGGTGTGTGCCACCACTGCCTAACTAGTGTGGCTAGTTTTGCACTCTGATCTTCAGTGTTAGATCATAAATATCACAGTGGCTAGCCTCTGCTTTGCATGTGTTCTCTATAAGGCAGTTAATGCAGTTGGACTGCTCTCCTTTCATGGCACACTTGGAAAAACTGCTTTGTTATCCTCAGCTGAAGCATAGTCGCTGCGTTAGACCAGCCACCTTCCAGTCATTGGTTACTTTGGTAGAATTTCTGACTCTTGTCCTTAGGATTCACTGGTCATTTGGTTAAAACAGTTTCTCACTTTCATATGCTAAACATGTGGGTAAATACTGGTTTATTTATTATTTATTGCTAAATACTGGTTTCTTTAGTAGCAAAATATTTTCACAAAGTCACTGGACCTTGTGATTGGTAGTATAATGAAAATTTCCCCTCTTTTTGTTGTTGTTGTTTTTCTGAGGCACTGGGATTAAACCTAGGTGCCTAGGTAAGTGCTCTACCACTGAGCTTCGTCTCCAGTGTGCAACTGTTAGGGTTGAAACTGAAGTAAAGGAAATTATATCTTCTTGAAGTTTGGGAGTTTGATTTATACTAAAGATTCTTAAGTGTCAGCATAGGTGTTCTGGCACAAAAATTGGCAAAAGTATGTATTTTATCAGTTGAGTTATGTAGAAATGTAAATAATAACAGGTTAATAAAAAGGAAGAATGATAATAGGAAGAGAGATTTATGCTTGGTTTCTGGGAAAATGTTTCAAGAATTATTTATAGTTCATACTTTCTTTCTTAAAAGGCCACTGCTGAAGCCAACAATTTGGCAGCTGCAGCCTCTGCCAAAGATATTTACTACAGCAATATGGAGGAGGTATGTTTGTAACTCCTTTTTTCTGGAACGTCTATTTCCTGAGCATGACTGTTGACTTCAGAGGCCCAAACTTTATCCTACTCAATGTATATTTTTTTGTTTGAGACAGGGTTTTATGCAATAAGTTGACCTGCAAATCACTGTGTAGTGGAGTCGGGGCTGGCTTTAAATGTCTGATTGTATTGCCTTTAGCTCACTAAGGCTGTGGCTCAAGAATGTGCTTTAAAGATTTGTTTTCACTTATGAATCTTGTGAATGTATGCCACATATATGTGGGTATTCATGGAGGCCAGAAGAGGGTGTTGGATCTTCTGAAGGTAATGCTTAGGTGGTTGTGAGTGGCTTAGCATGAGTGTTGGAAATGTGACCTGGTTATCTGGGACACCTGAAAGCCCTCCTTTAACTACTGAGCTGTCTCTTCAGTCCCTTCTCAAAGTGTCTTAAGATGATGAGACACAAAGCTGTTTTTCAGGTCACCCTGGTGATTGGGATATTCTAATTACTACTTTTTTTTAATTTAATTTTTTTTGAAACAGTCTTTCTCTGTAATTCTCTGTAATTGGGATCATCTAGTTATTTTTGTCCTGAGACAGGGTGTTGATAGGTAGTCTAGGTTGGTCTCAAACTCATAAGTCTCCTGAGTCTTAGATTGCAAATGTGTGCTACCATGTCTGTTATTTTTCTTTTAAGATTTATTATTATTTATGTAGGTACCTGAGTAGGCCAGAGGTAGACATTAGATCTCCTGGAGCTCTAGTTACAGGAGGTTGTGAGTTTCCTAGTATGGGTGCTGGGAACTGAACTCTGATAATATTATATAAGAACAGCAAGTGTTCTTCTAAACTGCTGAGCCATCTCTCCAGCCTCCCAGTGTCTGCTTCATAACCATTTCTAACCTAGCTTTCTCAAGAGTATCTTTGTTCTTTTTGATTAGTGTTAACTTGTTTTTGTTTTAACTTTAACATTAGTTATAGTTTTATGCAAGGACTTGCTTTTATGTAGCACTGGTAGACCTGAAGTTTGTTATAGTCCATCTCCACCTCAGACTTAATGGATCTCTTGCCTCTGCCTCCTCAGTGCTGGGATTATAGGTATACACTAGTATGTCTAGCTTTGGCCTTGGGTAGTTGGCTTTTCTTAAATTTTTAAGAGTTTTATATGCATTGGTGTTTTGCCTGTGTGTATGTCTGTGAGAGTGTTGGGTCCCCTGGAACTGGAGTTACAGACAGTTGTGAGCTACCATGTGGGTGATGGGAACCCACTGGGAGAACACTCAGTTCTTTTAACTGCTGAGTTATCTCTCTAGTCCCTTTTCTGACTTTTTTTTTGGGGAGGGTGTCTTTCGAGTCAGGGTTTCTCTGTGTAGCCCTGGCTGTCCTGGAATTCACTTTGTAGACCAGGCTGGCCTTGAACTCACAAGAATCCACCTGCGTCTGCCTCCTGAGTGCTGGGATTAAATATGTGCACCACCACTGCTTGGCCTTTTCTGGTTTCTTATTGAAGCAGAATCTCATGTAACCTAGGTGGGCCTCAAACTCTAGGTAGCTGAAATAACACTGAACTTTCTGATTCTCTTGTAACCACCTCTGGAGTGTTGGAATTATCCATGAGCAACACCATACTGATTTATATGGTATTGAGATTGAACCCCTGTGCTTGCTAGGCAAGTACTGTACCATGTATGTTATGCCCTCAGTCTCCCTTGAATATTTTCTGAAGTTAACTCCTAAACTTTAGCATTCTAATCTTTACCGTGTCTTTTTACTTGTTTAATTTGGCATGTACAAGAATTTTCAGCATGTATTTTTATCATTTTTAGGTTTGTGGGGGAGAGAAACCTTATTTGTCTCCAGACATTTTAGAAGAGAAGCACCATGAATTCAAACAGCTTGCTCTAGATCACTTTAAGAAGACCAAAAAGATGGGTGGGAAGGATTTCAGCTTCCGTTACCAGCAAGAGCTGGAGGAGGAAATCAAGGAACTGTATGAGAACTTCTGCAAGCACAATGGCAGCAAGAATGTCTTCAGCACCTTCCGAACCCCTGCAGTTCTGTTCACAGGCATAGCAGCGCTGTACATAGCTTCTGGCTTTACTGGCTTCATTGGGCTTGAGGTTGTAGCCCAGCTGTTCAACTGTATGGTTGGATTGCTGCTAATAGCACTCCTTACCTGGGGGTACATCAGGTATTCCGGTCAGTATCGTGAGCTGGGTGGAGCTATTGACTCTGGTGCAGCGTATGTGTTAGAGCAGGTGAGTGGTGCTGGCTGAGGCTGAGGGTCTGTGGTGATTGTGCTTATGTTGTAAAATTTGGAGGAATTTCATAGTGAAAAAAGGGTAAGCCCATTTTCTGATGGGTTTTATATTTTATTCTTTTTTTAGTATATTAATATTTAATATTGATACTTTGCTTTAATGCTTAAAAATGGCCCTTTAATGCAAAAAAGGGTCTTTGATCTAGTATGTTCCTCCTGGGGCAGTTTTATCTTTATTTTTAATTAATTGTTTTGGTTAATAAACAAAACTGGAGCCGGGCGTTGGTGGCGCACGCCTTTAATCCCAGCACTCGGGAGGCAGAGGTAGGCGGATCTCTGTGAGTTCGAGGCCAGCCTGGTCTACAAAGTGAGTTCCAGGACAGCCTCCAAAGCCACAGAGAAACCCTGTCTCGAAAAAAAACCAAAAAACCAAAAAAACAAAAATAAACAAAACTGGGGTTCTTTATAGCATCTTTATATATTCTATCATTTATGCCTTCAAAATGCAAATAGTTTTTGAGATTGACATAATCTCTAGGGTTTTTTAACTTTTAAAGTTTATTTAAATTTGTTACTCTTGTGTGTGTTGTTGTATATGATATGTGAATGTGGGTGTGTGAGACCCAGAGCACAGGGTGTGGAGGTCAGAGGACATCAGTCAGTTTTTGCCATTCACCTTTATTTGGGTTTGGGGAATTGAACTCAGGTCATTAGAGCTGAACAGCAAGGTTTTACCTGATGAGCCATCTTGCTAGCTCATTTTGAGTTTTTTGTTTGTTTGTTTGATATAGTCTCATGCGGCTTAGGCTGGCTTCAGACTTCATAATGTAGAAGGGCATGAACTTGAGCTCTCAAACTCCTGATTTCTCTGTATTGTTTTGGAGTCTGTCCTGGAACTTGCTCTGCAGACCAGACCAGGCTGGCCTTGAACTCACAGAGATCTGCCTGCCTTTGCCTCCCGAGTGCTGGGCTTAAAGGCGTGCACCACCACCCCCAGGTCATAAATTATTTTTTTAGACAGGGTATTTCCATTATCCAGGCTGGCCTGGGACTCACTGTAATGCACAACGGCCTGAAACATATATAATCCTTTTACCTCAGTCTCCTGAGTGCTGAGATTCAGACAGCACACTATACAGGATACTATATTAATTATAAAGCTGTTGGCCGTTTGCTCTGTTTCTTACTGGCTAGCTCTGACTTTAAGTATTTAACCCATAATTGTTAATCTAAGTATTTCTCTTACCTGAGAAAAGGGTCCAGACCTCTTACTCCTGTGGCAGGCTACATTATGTCTCTCTTCCCCAGAATCCTCCTTGACTCCTAGTCCCGCCTATCTTGCTTCCCTATTGGCCTTCAGTGCTTTGTTCAACAATCAATTAAGAGACAGATTTACAGAATGACATCTCCCATCTCATTTTGTATGTTTTTAGGACAAGTTTGTTTCTTTTTCTGTGGCATGAACAAGTCAGTTAGGTCAACAATGTGAAGCCAGGAGGATGCTCCCCTGACTCCTAGGTGTTAGCCTTGGCCATGGTTTCCTCTCAACACTGTGGTCTCACTCAGTGTTGATGAGGAAAGATATTTAGAAGTTATCACTTAGGACTTAGTTTTTTATGCTGTGTTGTAATTTATTAACTAATACATTAACTAAATGGACTTTTGCAGGCTTCTTCTCATATTGGTAATTCTACTCAGGCTGCAGTGAGAGATGCCATCGTTGGGAGACCACCTACAGATAAAAAAGCTCAATAGTGTCTTAATGGCAAGATCCAACAAGAGCCCAGTCAGCCCCTGGATTTCTGCTAATTCCGTCATGGGTCCAGTTCCAGAGGAATGGCAGATCTGAGACCGCCCTGGAAGCGCTGAGACGGGGCAGTGTAATAAATGAACTGACTTCTCCTATGGTTCCAAATTCCACTTGTCTTGGAAGCAGTTCTTTTTGTTGCTGTTACAGACCCAAGGCTACTGTCTTCTCTGCTTTGTGCACTTTAAGGGGTGGGGGTGGGGGCTAAAAGGAAAACATAGAAATGCAGCTTTTAAGTCTTTGATGTACCACATAGTGCCTTTTAAGACCAGCCCATGCCTCTGCAGCCTGAGCCCTGAGGAGTGGAGGACAGCCTCATGGAATGCAGTTTTGGATCAACTTTTCTTTTGGATTTTAGTTCTCTTGTACCTTTGAAAATTTGTTTTCCAAATGTTTACACAACTTGAAGGCTCAGAACTAAAGGCTGACTGACATGATATGCTTAAACAATTTCCCCCAATACTGGAGATTGAACCTAGCACCTGATGTGCTAGGCAATTGCTCTGCCCTGGAGCTATCCCTTAGCCTGCTTGCCTGCAGTCTCTGGTCTTGAAATACTCTGTCCCCAAGTTGGCTGTAAGCGTTCCATTTTCTTCCTTCCTCACTAGCCTCTTGAGTGGCTTGAATACAGACCTGTGCTGCCATCCTTGCTTCAAAAACCTTATTTATATGAATTATCTTTGCTATGCAGCATGGAAAAAATTAGATCATTTTATACTTTGTGTTGGAGAGTATAAGGTGTTTTACACAGTAGGCTGTCAGTTTTGTTGTACTTGTTTTTTTAAATTTTTATTCCTATAGCTTCTTTCTAGAAAAGAAGCGAATGGTCCTTAAAAAGCCAGGGCTTCATAATAAAACGAATGAGTTAGACACTTGATGGTAAAATTGTAGTCTGGGTGAACCTCTGATATGAGTCATTTGAATTTGTGTCTTGGTCAGATTCACTGTGTGTATGTATATGTCACTCTCAAAAATAGTCATTTTCTTTTTTTTTCCTTTTTTTTTTTTTTTTTTTGGTTTTTACCAGACAGGGTTTCTCTGTATTGTTTTGGAGGCTATCGGTCCAGCCATGCCTCGAACTCACAGAGATCCGCCTGCTTCTGCCTCCCGAGTGCTGGGATTAAAGGCATGCGCCACCACCGCCCGGCTCAAAAATTGTCATTTTCAATAGAGAAAGACACTACCAAATATTACTCCTTTAAATTAATGTTCAGTTTCATGTTGCTTAGTGATAATACCAAATAATCTGATCTATAGTCTTTACTTTTTAGGGGGGAAGTGGTAGCGATGTCTCACTGTTGCCCTGGCTAGCCTGGAACCTTTGATATAGACGAGGCTAGCCTTGAACTCATAGAGATCCTTGTGCTTCTGTGCCTAGCCCCAAACTGCTTTTTATTCTATGTGCTATGTAATGTTCATAATATCAAAGCAAAACTATTAATTTTTTCTAGTTAACTTTCCTTTTTTTCCCCTTGAAGAAGAAAGGGCATTCAGTCTAGCTAAACTGTTTAAAATTCTCTCTTGATTTTCCTTTTGGTTAGACTGGCAGTTTTAAAATAACTGGCCTATGAAGGACAGTTTGCTCAGACTATAAAATTTTCTTTTTTACATTTGCCTTGATTATATGATCAACTTTTATCTGTTTTTTTTCCTTTGACTTTTTAATGGTGAATTATTGTGGACTTAAACCTTAAAACAAGTCTGCAGGTATAGAAGCCTTAATTTTTTTAGGTAATTTGAATTTTTGTCTTGGGAAGGAGATAGAATGGTTTTGGCAAAACCTAGTATAAATTTTATGTACATGAAGTATGATGGAAAGTAGGAAAAAAGGAAATCTTGTATTTAATTTCTTACCAGAATTTTAAGTTTTCCAATCAAGCATTTAACAAACCCTGAATTAATATTGAGCATTTTACATATTTTCATACCATCTTGTCCTAAACTCAGAAGTTTTTCCTTTGGCTCTGCTATTTGGGAGCAGTTCCAGCTTGTTTAAAACTGTTCACTGCTTGTGGGTGATGGCTGACCATGTAAGGGTTGGAAGCTCAGTCCTGGAGTTGTGCAGAGTTTTCAGGTAGTGTCCCCTACCTGGAAGGTTGTACTGTGTGTGTTGGGCTCCTCATACTGAGCAAAGGTCAGAGAGGGTTTTTGGGAATAGGGTTTTGTTATGTAGTCCAGGTTGGCCTATAACTTGCTTTGTAGTTTAGACTGGCCTTAAACTTGAGGCTCTGCTGCCTCAGTCTCCTTGAGTGCTGAGCTTGTAGGCGTGTGTCCCCATGCCCGTGTCTGGTTTTACTCTTTTTCTCTGTGTATCTTTGTAGACCAGGCTGGCCTCAAACTCACAGAGATCTGCCTGCCTCTGCCTCCTGAGTGCTGGGATTAAAGGCGTGTGCCACTACCCCCAGGCTCTGGCTCTACTCTTAATGGTAAAAAAAAAAAAAAAAAAAGATGTGGGAAAGATTTGCTGTGATACTTTTAGTATTACATCTGTGTATGTGTTTAAAGTGAATGTTTTATTAACTTATTCTGCTTCTGGAACATGTTTATAAAGTTTTCTTTGAGGGTTCTTGGAAGTTTTCCTTGGGCTTTTCTAACTTTAATTGTTGATTTTTCTCACAATTTTTCAATGCAAAATGCCTTTAATGATTGGCTAGAAATAGTTCTGAGGAGATTTATAAGTGGTTGAAAGAATCTATTAGCACTTCCTGCCTTTTCTTTGTGGGTCAGGACATGGTGTAGGAGTCAGATCAGGGTCCCCACAGGCTTCCTGATTTGCACACTCCCGTCAGTGTGTGGAGCACACTCCTATAGACATAATGAGATTTCCAAAACATTGCATTGAAAATAACTCACTTCAGGAGAAGCTAAATGTTGCTAAGATGTTCTTGGATTTGTTTAGGGGTGCTGAGGATGGAACCCCAGGGCTGAGTATATGGCAGGTGTTTGCTCTGTCTACCAAGTTAAACTGTTTGCCTCTTACCATCAAATGGATAAAACCACAGCTTTGATTCTTTTGCTGAGAAGTCTCTCTCATGATTTATCACTTGCTGATAAATTTCACACATCCCTTTTAAAGAGCACCAAAAATCTCTTTCATGGGATGCTTGTGACTTTATTTTTTTCCTTTTTCCCTCCCCTGGACCCTCCCCCCTTCCTTTTTCTGTGCAGCTCCAGCCAGAGGTTTATGTTTGATACTTGTTTATACTGGGTCAAGTTGCTGTGACAGCTTGTGTTTGATGTGCTTTCTCGAACACAAGCACACAGGCACAAGCAATGTGTTTTCAGTTTCTTTAGTAGGTCATATACAGTGGCGCTTGGGTATGTGAATGAGACAAATTCAGTAGCCTAATTTCAGCCCAAGCCAAAAAAAAAAAAAAAAAGAAAGAAAAGAAAAAGGAAAGTTTTTTCCAGAAAGTGACATGAAAGTATCAAAAGATCTATTTTGTTTGTGTCAGTTTTTTAACATGTAATTGAGTGTGATTTGATTTTTCTATCAGGTGACCAATATCTCTGCATCCTTCTACCTAGCATGTGGAGCCAATGCAGTTTCTGTCAGGAATGAGGAGGTTGTGAGTGAGCTTCATTTAGCAGAGTATTCCCTGTCCCGTGTGACTTGTTGTTGTGGGTTAGTTGTTTTCCTCAGGGGCTGTACTGTATGTAGCTCTGTCTTGGACACTGGTTCTTACCTTCCTCTTCATGCTTTAGACTAATCTGTGGGGTGTGTTGAAAGAAAGTCAGATCTGCTTTGTATTTAGAGATTGCTGCAGCGGTTTTAGGATGGGCCCTGAGATCATTTCTTATAGACTTCATAGGTAATTGGCGGGTAGGGGTGGGGATGAAGAGTGAGAATGAACTGATCCACAGAATGGGAGTACCCAGACAGGAAGTGCACTTGCCTGAGGCCTGCTGCCTGGCCTGCTCACTTGAGAGTTTACTATGTTTAGAATCATCAGGGTGCCTTAATTGAGAAGATTGTCCAAGCTTTTTAAAGCTATCATAGTGCCTTCTCTTATATACCTGCCCTTACACACTGACAGGTAATTAGGAGTTTGTTAAAGAAATGTTGATAGTATCCCCTCTCATACTCTGAAAAAGCCAAACTGGGCACTGTGACTTGAATCCCTAAATTTTTGTTGTTGTCATTGTTTTGAGAAAGGGTCTGAGTATGTACCTGGCTGCTCTGGAACTCATTCTATAGATCAGGCTGGCCTTGAGCTCACAGGGATCAATCTGTCTCCTTGTGGATCCTGAAATCTTTTAAATACAGAAAACCCTGAAGTACTAATACCAGTAATGAACAAAGAGGATGGGATTGTAGTCACCTATGCACCCCACAGAAGGAGCATTCCAAGATAGCTCTTTTTTTTTTTCTTTTTCCAAGATAGCTCTTATCAACAGAAAGGTTCCTATGGGGAAGTCTCATGTGCCAGAGTCAAAGGTCAGTGTTACAGCCAAGGGAAGGTCACATTGATGCCTCAGAGTTATTATGAATGTAAGCCTTAAAAGAGTAATCTTGAAAATATACAAGTTTTATTTTAAAAATGATTTGTTATAAGTACTTTCTGCTAGTTCCTTGCCTTTGAATGGCTTTAAAACAATTTTTTTAAAGTGCAATGGGAAGCAATGATGCTATTCTGTGCTAAGGCTCATTTCTGTTTCCTTTATGGGTTGTATATTCATTTAATGGATTAAAGATCACAACACCAATGTTACCTGTGTTTGTTGTTACTATTCTTTCTTGTGGAAGACCTATGGGACAGAGTGGGGCTTGGCAAGGGGAGTTGGTGACCTGTTAAGTAGGGGCAATGGCAGGTCTGCTCACTGAGCCCTCCATGGTGAGCTGGAAAGGCTGTTTGTTATACAGCTGCTTCAAAGTCAGCAGCATGTGGTCTTGAGATTGTATTGACTTCTAGTGGGTTGCTGGGAGTCAGAGCCAACTGTAATTAAATAGTCTCACAGTTGTGGGTGGACAGAGGGAGAGCTTTGACCTGGGAAGAAGTGAGGAAGTAGTACTGAGTTTCTTTGGTCCTGAGAAAGGTTTGTGGTGGTCACTATGTAGCTTTGGCTGGTCTTGAGCTCACTAGGTATTTCAGGCTGGCTTTGAACTCACAGAGATCCACCAGCCTCTGCCTTAAGACCTCCCTCCTCTCCCCTCTGGGTGGTGGGCCCCTTAAGATTAAAAAGAAAAAACTAGGCCGGGCGTGGGTGGCACACGCCTTTAATCCCAGCACTCGGGAGGCAGAGGCAGGCGGATCTCTGTGAGTTCGAGGCCAGCCTGGTCTACAAAGTGAGTTCCAGGACAGCCTCCAAAGCCACAGAGAAACCCTGTCTCAAAAAACAAAACAAAAAAAAACTACAGGGCCATATCAAAATTTTGTTTCTTGTCTTTTACAGGCAGTTGTCTGATGGTTTGGTGGGAAGGCAAAAATACTTACTGTTAAACATTTGGCACATGAGAATGCTAACGCTGCATGCCAGATTGTCATCCAACCCTTTTGAAAGAAAGTAGATATTAATGATTATATCCACCTCTGTATTGACATAAGGGTAATTCTGGCTATGACCCTACAAGAGCAGACAATACCTAAACTATTGGCAGTCATTCAATAAGAATAAAAAGAGCTAAAAAGCTGTTTCCTCTTTTTTTTGGGGGGGGGTGGTATATGTGTATTCAAGTAACCTTTATTATTTAATAATGGCCCAAAGAACAGTAGTAGAGATGTTGGCAATTATGGTATATTTCAAAAATTGTCCTATGTATTATTATTTTTATTTTTTGAGGGTTTCTCTGTATTGTTTTGGAGGCTGTCCTGGGACTCGCTCTGTAGTCCAGGCTGGCTTCAAACTCACAGAAATCCGCCTGCCTCTGCCTCCCGAGTGCTGGGATTAAAGGTGTGTGCCACCAACACCCGGCTATATTATTTTCTTATTGTTCCTAGCTTATGAAGTAAAATTTTATTTATTTTTTGTTTACTTCTCAACCAAAGATTTCCCTCCCTCCTCTCCTAGTTCTTTGCTGTAGACACCCCCACCCCCATTTCTCTTCAGTTATGGATGTGTTTCCCGTGGATATCAACCAGCCACGTTATATTAGGTTAACAGTGAGAACAGGCACCTACTGAATATCCTCTTGCTTTTATTATGCATTATATGCATAATATTCTGATATCCTTCCTACAAAAAATGCTAAAAAAGATCTGTTTATAAAAATAAAAGTTGAATTAACCCTTTAAATTTGTACTCATTAAAAACATTAAAATTTTGACATATTTTGGATGATATAACACTGGCTTTTGCTACTTTGTGCCCCTATAAAATATTAAAAAATTATCAATGCTTCTGCTTACACTGCCAAACCTTTTCAGGAACTTTGTTAACAGTTTGTTATAATCTGCATCACAGGCATTCATGTAATTGCCAGGGTCAACTTTTTGTGGAAGGAGTTAATGGGCAACTTAAACATTATTTAAAAATAAAGGAGCAGGGGTAGAGTAGTATGGCTGTGGCTTACAATATTTTGTCTTATTTGATATACTTTAAATTTAGGCAAGGATAGTCTACTGCTGCAGAATGTTATTGGACCCTCTGATAGAAGTCAGTGTCACAGTTCTTTGGGGAGATGTTAGGTATAGTCAGTTGAATCAACCGGGTCCAGTAATCCACTGGAGCTGAGGCTCTGTATTTTCCTCAGGGTGCTGAAAAGCCAGTGCGGAAAGCCTGGCTGGACCCTGTGCAAGATGGACAAAGAGATTACAAAGCATTTGCAGGGGCTATACCTGAAGAAAAGGAAGAGAATGGGGTGACAGGGTTGTCTGTCGCCCTACCGACCGTGACTCAAATGAGAAAAAGTAGTGACTGAGGTGCTAATCTTATTGTTCCCCAAGCAAAGATAGTCACATTGACAAATTTAAGTATTGATGGTCAATCCTTACATGCTAAAATATTAACCATTTAGCATTCAAAATAAATTATCTTCCTCCAAAGCTTTTATTTCCACCTTACAGCAAATGTTCCCTGTTGTGGGTATTCCCACACAGCTTTTACTACTAAGAATTTTAAGAAATTCTGTGAAGAATGGCAAAATTGTACCCTTAAAGAAAAAAAAAAGCAACTTTTAGGTCAGCCAGTGGTGGTGCATGCTTTGAATCCCAGCACTCAGGAGGCAGAGGCAATCGGACAGAGAGAGGAGCGAAGAGCAAATTGGCAAAGAATGGGCTGGCAAAACCAGCAGAGACAGCTGATCCGAACAGGGGAGAGCTCTTGGACCCCAGACCGACAGCTGAGAGGCCAGCATGGGACCAATCCAGACCCTCTGAATGTGAGAGTCAACGCGGAGGCCTGGGCTAACTATGGGGTCCTGAGCAGTGGATCAGTGTTTATCCCTCGAATACTAACAGACATCGTGTGTCCATAACACAAAGAGGGTTGCTTTCTCTGCCTGGACTCTTAGGGGAGTGCCTGGACCCTACCCTGAATGAAATGATAGACTCTAGATATCCCCTATGCGGAAGGAATTGGCAATAGGGTGGGAGGATGGGGGGATGGTGGGGGGTGCGGGAGGAGGGGAGGGAGAGGGAACTGGGATTGACATGTAAAACAAGCTATTTAAAATTAAAATAAAAAAAATAAGAAGGGGCTGGGAGAGCCATTCTCTGAGATACTCTTAATACCTTATTTACTTTAAATTATAGTTGTTCAATTTACAAAAAAAAACTTTAGCCGGGCGTTGGTGGCACACGCCTTTAATCCCAGCACTCGGGAGGCAGAGGCAGGCGGATCTCTGTGAGTTCGAGGCCAGCCCAGTCTACAGAGTGAGTTCCAGGACAGCCTTCAAAGCCACAGAGAAACCTTGTCTCGAAAAACAAAAAAACAAAAAAAAAAACAAAAAAAACCCCTTTGATGTGATTGGAACATTACTAGTTATTGTATAGCCCCTGCTTGATTTAATCAGCCTTTATAACTGGACCATGATCAAATATCATTTATAAGATGTGTGTGGGAATTTGTCTTTTGATATTGCTGCCCTATAGGATGAAACCTTCCAGACATTCTCTAACAATTGCCTGGAATTTTGGAACAAGGGATACTAGAAGGAATTATCGATATCGATGCCTTACAAGGTATAGATTCTTGTTCCTGGTGGTCTGTCTTGAGAAAGTTCTAGGAAAGGGCTGCTTTAGTATATACTTACTAGCATTTATGTTTACATGGTTTTCTGAACTCAAACAACCTTCCCTGGATCATTGCTTTCTTTGTTACATTCATGTATAAAAGTACACTGAAACTGAAGTGAAGTTGTCTGCATCATTAGACTGTAGCCCTCCCCATTAAAGTCTTCAATCCCAGATTTCAAAGACAGATCTGCATAGGTTGACAAAGGTCGACAGTTGCCCAGGTTGGCCTCAAACTCACTTTGTATCTGAGGATAAGCTTGATTCTGCTTCCACCTGCCTTATCTGGGATTATAGGACTGAGTTGTGCCACGCCCAATTCACGTGGTGCTGGGAATGCAATCAGAACGTCAGACATTTTAGAAACTACTCTTGTAATAGGGCAAGACCCTTCCTCCATCTTCTATTTTTACTGAGTCCATTTTGTTTAGCTAGAATTTGAACTTTATGGAGAATCCATGAAAAATAACCAAACTTTGTTGTAGGAACCTGAGGTCAAAATGCCTCTGCTAACTTAGCTTCTGGTAAATCGCCTACTTGTGTATCACTCCACCCTCCAACTAACTGCTATCTTAGCTTTTGTTAAACTACCTGCTCATGCAAAACCTTGTCCCTGCTGAAGGAGATACCACAGTGTTGTTTTTGCCTTTAAAAACCCCTTGCTCTAGCCGGGCGGTGGTGGCACACGCCTTTAGTCCCAGCACTAGGGAGGCAGAGGCAGAGGCAGGCGGATCTCTGTGAGTTTGAGGCCGGGCTGGACCGACAGCCTCCAAAACAATACAGAGAAACCTGTCTCGTAAAACCAAAAAAACAAAACAAAAAGACAACCCTTGCTCTAAATGCTCGGGGCTACACTTGAGTCCTGAATACCTGAGTAGAGCCTGCTGGCTGGAATAAAGATTTTCAATTGGATATAAACTTGTCTGAGTGGTCATCTCTAATGGGCTCCCCATATCATTTTGGAATCCCCCAGCAAGATCTCCAGAGCCTGAACCCTGACAGTTTAGGGCCCTTGGGACCCCAAGATTGGCAAAGAGTGCCCCAGCTGGAGAGGATAACTAGGGGGTGTGCAACCTGAGATGTTCTGGGGCCCAGAAAAGTCCTCTCTGACCATGTCTTAGAGCTTTGTATGAAGAGACACCATGATTACAGCAACTCTTATAAAACATTTAGTTGGGGTGGATATAGTCTAGAGGTTTAGAATATTATTATTGTGGTGACCTGCAGGCAGATATGATGCTGGAGAAGGAGCTGAGAGTTAAACATTTTGGGTTTTGTTTTTATCCAAGACAGGGTTTCTCTGTGCAACAGCTTTCTCTGGCTGTGGCTCTTCTGGAACTCACTTTGTTGCCAGGGTCTGGCCACTATAAGTCCTACGATGCAGGGGCCATCTATTCTGGACTGATGTCTTAAGGGCTGTGTTAGGAACTAGCCGAACAGCTCCGGGTCGGACCCTGAGTGTGGATCAGGGAAGTCCTAGCTACCTAAGGGCGTTAAGAACAAGAAAGAGACATCTTGTCATTTCAGGAGGGCTCTCAGAC